AATTAAAATATTTTGTTTTTCTTTTTATGACCTTTATATTCAGAATCTAAGTAATTAAAGGTTTGTCCAAACTTCAGAAGCAAAGGACTAAAGTAGAATGTATTGGAAAATTGAGCAAAAGAAGAAAGGAGGAACACCTCATCCAAACTGAAAATCTACGTGCATAAGAATATTGAGCTCATAATGGCCGAGTGGTTACGGCATCGGACTTTTGCCCCTTGCATTCAGTAGTCATCCCTTGGACCTATGCGGACGGTAGTGGAGTCTTGTGCGAAAGAAAAATCCCCAGCAGTTCTAATAGTTAAGGGGACACAGTACGTTTCAGTTGACAAAAATCAAATTTAATTTTTTAGCTTTAATTATTTGTAATATAGTTTTCTATAACCTCACAAAACTTGAAAACTCTAAAACATTTAAAAAACACATAATTATGATACCTTTTACTTTCGTTTTTATTCACGTTCCTATGGCAAATCAAAACTTTAAAAACTTACTTATCTCAAAAAGATAAAATATCTAGTTTGTTCTCATTTAAAATGTTAAGGCTTTTTTTCTATTAGGCCTAATGCTTTGAATTTTTTTAATCTATTGCTAATAGTACATGTAACAAAAGTTGGTATGCATTTTTAAATCAAAGGAATTAAAAAATAATTGCACTCAGAATTTATACATTTTTAAGGAATTTTAAGTAAGCATTCATAAAAAGAATTATTGTACAAATAGCAATTGTGTTATCGTGAAACCCATACAAACTTTTGTTATACATAGGTTAACCTACTTGTAAATCAAACTTCATGCATGTACGTAAATTTTTGTAGGAGGAGTAGCATTTTAAAATCACATCACAAATTTTAAGTTTTTCCCATAAAAAATTCAATGACTAGCTTTTTATAAAATTTTGGGCACAAAACTCGTTTTACATAGTATACACACATAGGAGGCAACCCAAAACTTTCTTTAAAATTCTTAAATTAAAATTTTTTGTGTAAATCGTACCATGTCCCCTTAAAGAGAAAATATTGAAAAAAATTAAGATATTATATATAATGGAAAGTGACACACACACTTTTCAGATGACATCAGGCCGAATTACATCGGCAATTGCAGAAAATATGGCAAGCTTTGTATCCCCCTATTACTCTTAGTGTGAAGGGAAATTTCGGATCAAAGGTGGTATTATTTTTTGACAGAGCTGTCTGAAGGTTCGATTCCTGCTCCGGAGCCGCGGTATCTTTACATAATAATATAAATTTTTATAATTTTGTTTCCTATACTGAACTAATTTGTTCTGAAGTATAAATTATTTACTGTTCTGCTGAAAATTTCTAATTGCTGAAATGCTGAGGAAATTGTTTTATTACATTACTATAAAATATGTGTTATTCACACTCAAGTTTTAAATGCTATGTAATGATGTTTTTGTATGTGTGAGAAAAATTATTAATTTAACATATTTTCTAAATTCACAAATAAAATAAATGAAAATAAAAACAATTTTCTGATATTTTTATGGTGTATTCTATTTTCAGTATCCTTTTGATGAAAAATAAAACTATAAACATTTTAAATGCACTGAAATCTTAATCGTAAGTTGTGACAATATACCTATGTATAGAATCTACAATAATAAAATTTTATCACTAAAAATTATCTTTGTTCTTTTTATGGCAAAATACAGGTTTTTAATACTTAAATTCTTGATTTTGAGTAGCAGTTAATTCACAGAAATATCACGTTCCTAGCACTTGTAGTATGATGCAGGAGATGTGAATAAAAGTTGATCTTACACTGGCTTATCTCAGAATTTCTTGTGTTTATTATTATTATTATTATTTTTCCCAGAGTATTATTAACCATTTCTGGATTCTTGTCTAATAATTTACAAGTATTTCTCCAGAAATCCACTCAAGGGATTAACCCTCAGTGATATATTCCGCTCATAAAGTATTTCATCATAATGACGAGAAATTGTCTATCGAAGGGGAAAAAAAACACGGAAACATGTGTGTGTGACCATGCAGAATTTTACCGTTTCTTTTATTCTACTTTTGAACACAACATTTTGTGATAATTCCTAATTTTAAATAATAAACATTTGGATATTCTCTTTATGTAATGGAATGTTTAAAATGTAATTTAATATATATTATTTTGTAGCTTATTCAACTAAGAAACGAATACATGTATAAGATATTAATGTATTGCCTGAATAATAATTTTTTTCCTTAATAATAATTCACGCATTTTTAACAAATACCATTCATTTGAATAATTTTGAAAGAATCTCTGTAAAAGAGTCATTACTATTAAAAGAATTAGAATAATTAGTTTTTTTTTTTTTTTTTTGTTGACATCTGTCTCGAAAATTAAGAAAAGAGAAGATAAAAAAGAAAATGTTGCTTTCAGGATGGGTGCATGACTCTGGTACTGGACATATGCTTCATTTGAAAATGCAAGTTTAGGTTCAGATCCCCTGGTTTAAGTTCTTGCAGCGTTGAAGTATTACGCAAACGTAAACGGGTTTCGGAAAATTGAAAATGTTTGAAAGGCAAAAAGATAAATTTTTCTTAGTTTGTAACGTATTTTAGAAGACAGTAGACGGCATCATATCAGAATTGTGTCGACTCGGTGGCTTAGAGGTAGAGCGCCCGCTGAAGTTACGGGTTCGTATCCGTCTGTAGTTTATAGAATTTATTATTGCGAATATCTTAGGCATGCATGTCATGTAAATCTGTGGCATGTAAAAGATTCTTTGAGCATCAATTTGACCCTGATATAATCTCGCTAAATTCATGGTAATCGTTAGGATCTGACGAGAGCTTCCGAAACGAGACATTAAAATTTCGTGAAGAAAGCCGCCGCTAATTGGGGCTTCCATGAAATTGCTCTCCCATCAGGGGACTTGCTGTGTCTGCAAAGGCATACATACCAATACGCAACCTATTAGGGGAGAAAATCAGCAACTGAGGAAACCATGATAAAATGCCAAGTATTGTGAATTTTCAGCCCTAAAAAGTGCTATTGCAGAACATTTAAACTTATATTTGTATAGAATTTTTTATATTATTTTACCTTATTTCTCAATCCTAGTTATTAATAATATCATTCGCAGTATTTTTAATGAAACATAGCACATCTGAAATCAACTAAAATATATAATTAACACTTTATAATAAATCAAAAACTTTCAATATACAAACAGCAGCCTAAAAACAATACTAAGGTTTTTGCAAGTACCTGAAAACATTGTATTTGTGAAGCTGGCTGGTCCTGAAATTTTATGTGAAAAACAAATTCTAAAAATATTTGTACAGTTGGAATTTGAAGCATACGATTTTTTCCTACGCATTTTAATTGTCTGTAGAAAATTGAATTTACCAATGTTAGAGGATGATAAAAATAACGCTTTTAATAGTCCTCATTTTTATGTTATACATTTTAATGTTACAGCTTAAAGGGCATAACTATACCTACTTTTAGTCAATCCTGATGAATGTAAACAGCACGATTTCATCACTTTGGAGAATTCGTCAGTTTTGTAGAAAATTATCTCCTTATTTAAAATTGAATTTTTTATAAATTATAATCTTACGGCCACGGCGGACTTACTTTAGAGGTACTAGTCTCAAACTAGTGACAAGCCAACTTCTATCCGATACCCTGACCGCACAAGTCTACCATGTTCACTTATTAGTTCTTCCATGTTGCACTTTGTTATGCGAAACCCATACCCTCTATAAAAATGGATATATTATATCAGAAAAAGTTAATAATTTTTTATATTTTCTCAAAGATATAACTGTGCATTTTTCGTTTAATTTACAACACTCAGTAAAGAATAGATTCGTACATCCATGTGTGATTTTATTTCTCATAGTGTTTTATGCCTGTTGTGTGTATGATTATGTTTCAGTCACCACTACTGCAAACATTTTTCTAAAAAAAAAATACTAAATTTATACGCAAATTTCAGACACACAAGAAAATACTTGTATCTTTCTGTTAATATTTGCTCATTAACCATTTTAAAGTATTGAAAAAAAAAACATTTACAAATGTTTACCAGGATTAGTGGTGTTATATTTCTGTGCAGTTAACTTTTTCCATGTAAATGTTTTAGCTAATTTAAGATTATAATCCATGATTAGACTAAAATTTCGCTGACGATGTGTTCCTGGTATCGACCACTCAGCGCATTGGGTCTGAGTATAAAATCGCTCACCACACATAAAATTGTAATGAAGGGAAAAACACGGAAAAAATACTATTTCACCAGTATGCCCCTTTTATATAGTTCTTTTTTTTCTGTAAATTTGCATAATTCTATTATTGTAAGTCCTTATTTGACTAAAACAAATCACTAAAAACCAGTGTTTCTCAAACTTTAAATATTTGCGACTCAGTTTTCAATACCAAATTTTTCACCACATCTCCCCCTACAATAACAATGTATTGAACGCAATAATAATTTAAATTGACGGTAAAGCTACAATATATACCTTAATTGGAACTGCATAAATTAACAAGATAAGAATTGCATTTTGTACATATTACTTCTAAGTAATAGAAATTTTAAGTTCATTTTTAGTAAGAGGATAAATATAATGCTACTTCCCATTTCTACATTTATAAGAATGTTATAACAGTGTAAATGTGTTTTTTATTTTTTACTGTATCAGAAGGTATATATACTAAGCATTGTTCTTCCTTTCAGTGAATTATTATTATTTTTTTAATTATTATTTTATTTTCAAGTTTTTGTTATGTTCGCGCTCCAAATGTGGGTGAGCCCCAGAGTTTGAGAATGAATGCTGTAAATTGGCTATGGTGAACTCAGAAGCGTTGCATCTGTCACAAACGTTGATAAATATACCAATTAAAGCTCTGGTTTTGTCAGTAAGGCTCTTTCTGTCCCTTAAACATTATTTGAAAATATTTCTAAGTAATATTTAGCAGAAGAGACAAGAGGTAACGAAAAAATATAAGAACTAAATATTTCTTTCAAGATGGCTGAATGGTTATGGCATCGGACTTCTGCAACGTTTGCTAACAGGAGGCCACTTCATGGTTTTAGTTCATTCAGTATTGAAGTATTTCTAAAGAAATGTTCTTCCGTACTATTTGTGAAACGGTCTTTTTCACTATACACATCAGTTGGTCGTCTTTACAAAGCAGTGGTTATCCGATTCACTGTAGGTTCTATTCCTACTCCTGGACAGTGAATTTTTTCTCCATTTTGCGTACTGTATAAAATTTGAAATATTTAAAATTGGAATTACACACATCAAATATTTAAAAATCATATTTGTCCACTATATATGTTTCATAATTATGGAAATTCTGGCGAATTGTACTTCAATACATTACGAAAAATAAATAGTTGTTTTTAATTACAAATATTACATGTTATGTAATTTTATTTTCACACATGTTTGAAAAATTCTCTTTGTAGCAGCGTTTCTCAAACCTTAGGTCTCTCCCCCCTAGAGGGGTGTAATATCACTACAACGGATCACATGGATGTCGAAATTTTTTTAAAAAATATGATTAATTGAAAGAAAACAAAAGAAGTATACCTTTTTTTTTAAAATAAAAGTGATAAAATACACATCTACGCTCATATTATATATAATAATTATAAATGTACCGTACTGCAGAATGGATATGATAATTAATTTATTAATACTAACAACATATACTATTTACATCAAAGTACACTATCATTGCATTGAACTCATTATTATTGTATGGTGGGTTCACGATTAAGAATTTATCATTAACAATTAAGTCGTAAATGTTTAAAGTTTGAGAAGCACTGCTACACAAAAATTTTAATGCTGAAATAAAATAAATTTAAAAACTCTTGTTTTTCTTCTTGTTGATACTTACTTTCGTGACATGTTTCTTTAAACTGTATATAAACATTTCAAATTTGGTCTTAAAGATCATACATATCTAAAAAAAGAAAATTGCTGCATATTTCAATTTGAAATGATATAATACATATTAAATTAGCTTAGAGAGAGATTAGTATAGAGAAGTTTTAATTAGGAAATAAAATATATATTTTAATAATTTCTCGATCTGAAATTTTATAGTTTATCTCCTTTATATTCTTGTTTTTATGTTAAAAAAATTATGTAATAAAAATTTTCGTTCTTTTCTCATTTGAAATACTTAAGGATGTTCAGTAGAATTCTAAATTTTTTTCCTAGAAAAACAAAAATTTTTTTCAGTAGAGAGGAACAAATATTTTTGTTGTTTAAATGAAAGGCAGCTGCCCTGCCAGTATGTTGGATATGATCCTCCGCTTGTAATCGTGTGAGCTCGGGTTGAAATTCCGAATAAGGCATGGATGTATTTTCTTCGGAAAAAATGTTTAACTTTCGCCTATAATGGATTCCCGTCACGAATGGAAACCAGCGCACCCCTTTTTGTTATATATTTTGATCATCATTTATAATGTCTGTGTTCTTCTGTTTGTATTGTATGTTTCTGTTCTTCCACACTTGTATTATATATGCATCCCTGGATAAAAACACTCGACAGCAACTACAAAAACTTAAATATTAGGAAACTAATTTGGATAGATTTTTTATTTTAAATCATTGTAATTATGAGCAATTCTAAGTTAATATCCATCCCTGATCGAAATTCTTACAACTGACCTTTAGAAAATTTTAATAGAAAGTGCTGCCACCCTTATATGTATTCCTCATCACTGTATCATGTTTATCCGAACAATCACATAAATAGACTGACCAGTATATTCTCCCAATAGAAAACCAATAGAATTCAGGCGAGTTAAGTATAGGCTAAGCATAAGGGTTGCCATCAGCTTAGATGACCCACAAACGGCTCTTCGGCTAAAAAAAGTTTTTTTTTTTGGAGAAGTAGAAATAAATTCCTCAGATCAAAACAAGATTTTGGAATCTATCCGGAAAATCCCGACTTACGACAGATCTATTCCTAGCTTTTCTAAAAGACCTACATCAGTTCTTGACCAATCGTATCAACATTTCCTAGCTCTGAAAATGATAAGAATGTCTTGATATGAATTAAAAAAATTCTTATATATATATATATATATGTATATGCTCAACTTATTATGATGAATGGATAATAGAGCTTTCTCTATAACTGTTATCATTACCAAAAAGATTTTGTCATGGTTTATCCAGTCATTATTATCAAAGACTGCAGACCACTAAATGTGTTTAAAACTGGGATTATGACCAGCCATCGATAAATTAAAGAAACTTAACTGCCTCATATTCTTTGTATCTATAATACTGTGAGTGAGATTTTTTTTTTTTTTTCATAGAGGGCAACTCAACAGCAAATCAGGCAGATGTTGCTTAGAATTGTCTAAAAAGAAAGGATATTGAAATCATTTTAAACATATAGCATATTTTCCTGATTTAAATCTCGTTCAAATAATTGCAATGTGTTGTGGACGTGACTTTGAAATCAGTAATGTATTTTAACAAATACTCAAAACACTCTTAGTCGTATGCACAGACAGAGTGGGATATATTGCTCCACTAATTGCAAAATCATTTTGTACAAAGCATGCAACGTCGTGGTAAATGATATATGAGATTCTGCGGTAAGACAAATCTCGATACTAAAACTTGTATGTCACTATTGGTGATTAAAATAATTTATTGACTTCCAAATGCACTGTATGTTGTGAAGTGTTTTAGTGTTCATTATATTCAAAAGATTTTGTGCTTCGGATAAAAAAATATTCTTATTATAATGTCTAAAACGGAGTAAGATTACTTTATTCCTGTTAGGCTCGTAAATATATCGTAAATTTTACTCTACACATTCATCTGTACCTCGTGTTCTGCAATTATCCAGCAGGCTCTATCAAGCACCTTTTTTGAAAAAAATACAAGATGGCAAATGTTTTATCATAATGAATAATAGTAAAAAATATTTGAAAGCATTTCATTTGCACCAGAGATTGATTGTTTTGATTCTGAAAATAATTCTCATGCAATCAGTGATTCTAATTAAAATTCTGAATCTTATTTTTTTTTTTTTTAAATATAAATATTTTAAGGTCACCCGTATGTTTTATGACTTGTAAATTTTTTTTGACAAAATAAAATTAGGCAAATGAAGCAAATTCTGACTTAAAATTTCTCACTCTTTTTATAAATTAAATGATTCATGCAATTAATGATAAGAATAAAGTGAAATCTTAAGAGGAAAATGTTTGGCAACATAAATACATGTAGTGCAGTCTAACCTGAACTGTATATTTTACTGTAACTTGTTATTCTTGTAGTCATTTTTACAGAATAATGCATTGCTAAATAAGAAATTGAAGTATGTTTTGAAATTTGTATCATGCATTAATCGTAAGAAGTACGCGATGTGGGTCAATTTAATTTGAATCACATAAATGCTTACCACATGATAGTATTTGGTTGATTGAATACAATGGCGCCAACCTGTATAAACCTATCACCCTTTTTCTTTTGTAAATTTAGTGAAACTGCTATTACAATTTACAACTCTTCTTATTAGAGGCTGTGTATTGGGAATATATACATCAGATCCTATACATTGTTGCAATAGCAAACATTAATACATTGAAGATTCACTATTGTACTAGTGCTAGTGAATAATTTTCTTGGTCCTCAATGAAGTTTTGTAATAATATACATGATATTTTTTCTGAAAGTGCAAAATGTTTTTTTTTTTGCAATCCTCGGGAAAGCAAAACATATATGAATCTTAATCATGCTTTAAACATTAGAGTAAGAAATTTACATTGCTTAATATTAAATTAAGTTTAATTATTTCCATTCTTTTGCGTTGACTATGGTTTAAAAGCATCTCTTAAATATCAATCACGAAGCAAAGAAAGAAAAGAAAACATAACTGAACGTTGAGGAGTTCAGGATGGCCGAGTGGTTATGGCATCGGACTCCTGCATCCTTTGCAGAATGCGGTCACCATTTGAAACGCGGTTTCATTTATTGGTTATTGTTGAAGCAGAATGAGATGGACCTTGTAAGACCCAGAAGAAGAAAAATATGATGACAAAATCCCAAGAAAAGAATGAACGTAAAAAAATTAAAAGTGCCAATTAGAATGTGGCTCAAATCAAAGCTCAGTAGACCGAGTTACATCGGCAATTGCGGAAGCCATGACATCATGGCCAGCTTTAAATCCTCCTATCGTGCAGTACTGTTTGAATGAAATACGTCGTATCGAATGAGTGACCGCAATTGCAAGATTCGTGGTCATCCGATCGACAGCTGTTTCCGCAGGTTCGATTCCTGCTCCTGAACGCCGATTTTATTTTATTTCACCTAATGATATAAATGCTGAAACTCTTTGTATTTTTACACACATTAAGGAATTTTAGGAAATCTTTATTTAACAATCTGCTTAACACTATTGAGTTTCTGAAAAATGAAATTTTTTCATTATATTGCTAAAACATATTTAAATATAAATTTTACATGTTTTGTTAATGAAATTTTTGAAAGGTGGGAAGAATAATTTTTTAAAGTAAGTATACGTGCACGTAATTGCAAAGTATATAATCTCAAGATTTTTTGCTAATTTTTCAAGTCTTTTATTTTCAGGATTCAATTAGTTAAAACATATACGCACATTTAAACAGACTAAAACCTTAAGCAGAAAATAAGAAACAACGTATATGGCACCGACCATTCTGATATTCTTTCTACGAACAAAAATTGACTGATAAATGAAGAATAATTTTAATAATAAATTAATAAAAAAATTTTAATAATCACTTAATGAAAAATTTAATAACAAAATAATGATATTTCTTAATGATATTAATTCTTAATAATAAAAAATTACTTCATTATAATAAATAGTAACTAATTATTCAATTGTAATAAATATTAATTAATTAATTAATTAATTTGAATTGTTCATAATTTTAATTAATAATTATTTTAAATAATGTTATTTAATAATTATTTTAAATAATGTTATTTAATAATGATATTAAATTATTTTACTAATAAATAATTTAAGTAATACATTTATTTAATAGTTTTTTTTACTTTATAAAATAAAAAATAATTACATAAAATATCATTTAATATTTAGTAAGTCTTTTATAAATAAATTTATTTAATTTTAAAAAAAAAATAATTGAATGAATTCAAGAAAAAAGTTTATCGTGTGGAATGGGACCCAAAATTCGTGCATAGTAA